ATACAAGGTTTACTTCAGTACAATAATACTATACAAGGTTTACTTCAGTACAATAATACTATACAAGGTTTACTTCAGTACAATAATACTATACAAGGTTTACTTCAGTACAATAATACTAATCCAGGTTTAGGCAATAGAAATAAAATTTGTGTACTTTTGACTTCAGTTTTTGTTAGATTTCAGTGTTTTTTAGTCATTTGTTGTTGTAAAAATGGTCTTAGTGTTTCAGGTTGTATGATTTTTATTAAATTCGTTTGTTTGTATAATCTTGGTTATAAATCTGTTACCTGTGAACTAAAATCTAACTGGTGGTTTTGTTGAAAAGGTATGCCAATGGCATCGTTGTGTGGTCCCCAGTCTAGTCCCTCTCCAGCACCAGTCATGCCAGTACACAATCAGAGCACAGGACCCAAACCCTGGACCGATGGTACGTCTGAGAAAACCTTTACAATGCTACATTGTGGGTGAGAAAATAATCTGCAGTGCAGATTGTAAGGCATAAAGACTCATCTCTTCACTACAATGTGATGTTTAGTACGTAGTTTATTAGTTATATAAAATGTGTAATTACACTGCCTGGACAAACACAGTTTCCACCTGGATTTAACTAAGCAGTCAGGTAGGAGCTGCCTGGATGGTTATCTTTCAGATAGAAACAAGTTGTTTAACTGGTGCAATGAGTTGTTTCTTATTTCCTCAACAACCTGCTGACATTGCAGAGGTTTCTCTAACAACGCCACACAGAATGTGTGKCGTTTCTTTGGTGGGGACTTTGTTTTGGCCAGGCAGTGTATCTGTTTCATCTCATGTATTTGAAACTTCCAAATTAAAAGCTCAACTGGGATGTATTTAATCAGGCTGCAGCTGGCAGAATGTTAGATTAAAACTTTCTCTGTGTGTAATCTGAGCCTGGTCCCCATCAGGAGAAGTGCTGTTAGTGGGTCAGGTTTTCAGTTCAGGACTAAGGTGTGGATTGAGTTTAGGCTAGGTTTAGGTCAGGTTAGGGTCAGGTTAGGGTTAGCCTGTGGGTGATTCAGATATTCACACAGTGTTTTCTGTACAGGTCAGAGTGGAGACAATCAAGCTGCTGCTCAGAAGCACCTCACCTCTGTTCCCAGTGGCCGCCCCTCCCCTGCACCTCCTCAGACCACTGCCGGACCTCCTGGGCCCATGCCTGGAGGTTCTGCAGCCCCTCTTCCTCAGGGCCAGCAGGTGTCCCCAATGCTCCAGATGCAGCAGAAGCAAAACCGGATCACACCAATCCAGAAGCCTCAGGGTCTGGACCCAGTGGGAATCTTACAGGAGAGAGAGTACAGGTATGTACCTCACCTGTAGACATGTAGTTTGATGCAGTGTGGAGCTCAGCATGGCTCTGAAAGGGTTAATTTGGCATATAGCATTAATTTAGCGGGTTGGAATCATTTATTTGCTACTAAAATGAAAAAAGATGATATTGTACATCTTAAATATTTTGATTAGTAGAKTGTCTGAAGATATTTTRGTGCAGTTTAGGAAATACTGACAGAACAGTTGGGGAAAGTTCATGACCAAACTTTCAAAAAAAGCTCAAATTTTGATACTTTTTGGCTCTTTTTGTGGATGCCAGCTTTAAATAGCTTCATAAGTTCAATATTAGTTACCTGGATTTAATTAAGCAGTTTTTAACATTTTGGTACCAAAAAAACAGATCTGAAACAAAATATCTGTGATTATGGTCAGATATTATATAGACAAAGTCAAAGCCATGATTTTTAGCATTAATCTTGAATTCTGACTTTGTGTCCAGGAGAAATTTTGTAAGAAATGTTATTTTATACCTGGAAGGGATATAGTTTAATTGGGTACCATCAAACTTGCTGGTACAGCTGGTAAAATAAATATTGAACACGTCACCATTTTTCTCAGTAAATATATTACTAGAGGTACTAATGACATGAAATTTT